ATGAATGGAGCCAATTTTTCGGCATCGACCTTGTTGTTGGCGGTGATATACTTCTTGATTGCTTGCAAGGATGAGCCACCGCGTTCTTTCAATGCTTTGATTGCGTCGTTGACCAATGTAGCGGTTGGTGCATGGGTTGGTTTCGATGCTGGTTTCTTGGCTTTTGGAACTTTGGCTTTTGGCGCTTTTGCTGGTGAAGCGGCTGCTGCTGCTGGTGCTGGGGCTGGTGCTGAGTCGGCCATTTTAATTTCGCTTTGAGTATTTGCTTTATTGTAGACAGTAAACAAACGTATGAGTGGCACAATGCACGTCACTTGGTACATTGACTAGGACCGTTCCTTTCGGAACGCACCGATCTAAAATGACTTGTTCAATGATTTTCATTAGTGTAAATGTGATGAAGTCGTTTTGTGTTTTTGCGAAAATTTATTAAAGATATCATTTTGAAATGTGGATTTTACGCAATTTTCCAGTCAAGAAGTAATGAATTTATGAAAAAAATATACAAATATTGTTATCTGTATTTTCAAATCGTTGCAATTACTACTTAAACGAGAAATTTTCTTCTGATCTCAACAAAATTTATTTTTAAATTGCAATAATTTTAATTTCCTTCCATTAATTTTTGTCATTTTTGTTTTAATTCAATTCATCTATCATTTCTCTTCAAATTTATGTAGAAATCAAATCATTATTTTCTTTAAATTGTCTGAATTTGGCTCTAATATGTGAGACCTTTTGTACTGAAAACGCAACGGATCAGTGGTTGTATGGAAACATTGAGAAAGTTTTTAATTTGAATTTAAATAAAAATAGAGAAATTTTCTGTGATTTTATCTCATGTTTGATTGAGATTTCGAAAAATGTCATTGTTTCCCTCGTTGTATAGAGGCATCATGAATGATTTTAAACCATAATAAAATAAAAACCAGGCAATATATTGAATTAACTGGTCAGTTGAGCTGACAGTACGTTAGCCAGCTAAATGGGCTAAAACAATAGACGTTATTGTTTTAATGATGAATCACTTTTCTTGTTTTAATAGAAGTGATTGTTCATTAAAACAATAACTTCTATTGTTTTAGTCCATTTAGCTGGCTAACGTACTGTCAGCTCAAATGACCAGTTAGTTCAATATATTGTCTGATAAAAACTGACGAATTGATTCTATCTCATGTTTGTATATTATTCGCTAACAAGAATAGAATATAATCTTACAATTTTTAAAGATGTTTTGATTGTTAATTGGATATAATTTGTTTTGTATTCAATGAGACATGTAATAATATCTGGTTAATCTAGATAATTCAGGCAAACCTAAATGAAACAAAGTTTTCTCTAAATATTTTATAAAAAATAATAAATACATTTTGTGACTTATACCTGTGAAATGTAGAGCAATAAACAATTTTATTCTAGGTTGGAATTTAATCAGATAAATTTGGCTATGAGAAGCTCTGTAGTTTGTTGGGAGATAATATTTTTGAGTATATTCACATAAAATATTTTATTTTAATGATTGATTTAATGTAAAAATGAGTTTGATTAGAAATGAATGAAAACTCATCTGAGAACACTTGCTAATTTTGAAGCGACAACACATGTTAATAATTTAGAACAACATTTAGCACAGTGCTATTTAATCGATTGAACAATACACAAACATAACCTTTAAACCAAAACTACGTGACATTGCACATTTATTGAAAGAAGTAACAAGTGACACACGCAAAAGGCAAAACAAAATTGTGCAAAGGAATTTATTTTTGTGACTGCTCAATTCGATTTACTCAATAATAATTTCTCCAAGATGTCTTTCGGGGAATTTATTTTTCCTCTTACTGAATGGTTTCGACGAACACGGGTGAATCTGTTGTGGCCAGAATATGAAGGCCGCGAAGAAATTATTGAACTAGTGGTATGTCTAAAAGTGTTTATTTCTCGTTATTCATAGAATCCAAATTCATAGAACTAACTTTTCAAAGGAAACAAAACGTGATCCAAAGGTTTCAGACCTAAAGGAAAGACTATGGAAAAAGGATAAAGATGGAAAATTTATTGATATTGGTGACTACCCGCTAAGCGAAGAAAAACTACAGGAATTCGCCAATGTCTTAGAGGCATTAGATGAAGACTGCCATGGCAAAGACGTCGAAAAAGCAAAAGAAACACGACGGATGGGAAACAGGATTGATTGCCCAACAACAGCATTAAAGTATTACAACGAAAGTTTACGAAACGCAGAATACGGATCCACTGATATGGCCTTGGCGTATGCAAATCGAGCCGCATGTTTTTATAAAATGGAATTGAACAAACTAGCGTTTATGGAAATCAATCGAGCAAAAGAAGCAAAATTCCCAACACATTTACGGGCAAAACTAGCAATACTTCTGGCAGATGTTATTTTTCGCCTAAATGAAGAAAGCTTTCTGGAAATTCAACTTGAACATAAGAAAAAACCAACGGAATTGAGTTTTCTTGCTAATGAAGACCATCCACCTTTGGCCGATGTGGTAACAATCAAGAACGACAGAACATTTGGTCGACATATGCTTTCAAAGTTTCCTTTGAGACCTAACGACGTTATTTTGGTTGAAGAAGACTACCTAAGAACAGTTGACCATTTAGAAAGTAGTTTTCGGGCATGCGCCACGTGCTTTGAAATGGATAAAAATTTCATTCCATGTGAAAAATGTAGAGAGGTGGTGTTTTGCAACGAATATTGCCGAGAAAGAAACCACGTACATGCATGGGAATGTAACACCTTCATAACAACCCTTGAATTTGAGATGAAATTACCACTGCATTCAATGCTAAAAGCATTTGATACATTCACGCGCAACGACAAATTAGATTTAAATTCACTCAGAAATCATGTTAAATTATGGCTGAAGACCATAGATGACTTGCCAAGTACAACTCATGACTCACGATCGAAGTATGAGTTTTTCTTTAAGCTGTCAAGGGCCACTTTGTGCGAAGAACTATTGAGCCACAAGCAGAAACCTCACGAAATGGTTTATCTAATTGAAAATATGCTGTTGAAAATACCGAAAATCGCTGAGGCCTTTCAATACAGAGATGATTACTATTTTCTTAGGCATTTAATAATTCATCATTGTATTGTTATAAAAACCAACTGCTTCGGTGATGAGCACTCAACAAGCTTGGGCCTCATTCAATCTTTATTCAATCATTCCTGTGATCCAAATGTTTTTAACAGACACGAGGGAGCAAAACATATTTATTATCTAAAGAAAAGGGTAAGACGAAATGCTCAACTTTACATAAGTTACGTCTATTTGTTCCATCCCACTGAGCGTCGTCAAGAAGTACTTCATGAGCATTGGGGTTTTATTTGTGCGTGTAAAAGATGTGTAAGAAGATCGGGGAGCAAGGAAGTGTATCAAGATGCCAACTCTATTCTATCTGTTTTAAGCGATCGCTTTAGTGATGAATATGATGGTGAATATAGTAGGTCTGATGAATAACTTATTCATAATCCATTGTTCATATACACTTTTTTATCATTTATTTATTTAAAATTGAGTAAAATGTCAAAGACTGTCAAATAAATGTAAATGGGTCTCAGCGTTATTATAAACAAAGAAAAAAACACAGATTTAAGATTATTAAAATTTGAATATCCATGTTTAAAAATGCCAATACTGATAAATAAATTCATTCATTTATAAATAATAAAGTTTCGAAAATGGTTATATACTTTTCTCGTGTTTTCATTGTACATACATACAATTTTTCATGCACAAGCATTACACACATAATCTGAGCTTTCTATATATTTTTCATCAGCGAGTGGATGAAAATACATTAAATATTTCAATAATTATGGATGGAATGAATATGGAGGTCCATGTCGCTGAATATGGGGCTGTATACTAATTATTACACCACGACGTAATTCTATTTTATCGAAAGAAATTATTTTTGATTTTTGTAATCTTTATAAAAAATTGTTTGTTGGCCCTGAAAAGGGCCGTTTTTTGTTTTTTGATGTTCAAAGTGAATTTATGCTTTCTTGGTTTCGGTCTTCTTTGGCAACAAGACGGCTTGGATGTT